GACAAGAGAAGAAAAGATTTAGAATTCCAAGCTGGTGATCATGTGTTTTTGAGAGTCACACATGTGACTAGTGTTGGGCGAGCTCTGAAGTCTAAGAAGCTCACTCCTCGTTTTATTGGTCCGTATCAGATATCAGATCGAGTTGGGAAGGTTGCTTACCGAGTGGCGTTACCGCAAAACCTTTCTAATTTGCATGACGTGTTTCATGTATCGCAACTTCGGAAGTATATTCCTGATCCATCCCATGTGATTCAGATGGACAATGTGCAAGTACGGGATAATCTCACGGTGGAGATGATACTTGTGCGAGTCGCGGATCACGAGATGAAGATCCTAAGGGGGAAGGAGATTGCATTGGTGAAAGTTGTCTAGTTAGGAGCTGTTGGAGAGAGTATGACCTGGGAGTTGGAAAGCAAGATGCGAGACTCCTATCCCGAGTTATTTGAACCAGGTAAGCTTTTATTTTCGAGGACGCAAATATTCTAAGTGAGGGAGAGTTGTAACGCCCCGATATTTAATTATTTATTTAACTAAATATTATTTTAATTATTTTATTTTAATTCGAATTTTTATCGTTGAAGTCAAAATTATTTTATTAAGTTGGAATAATAATTTAATCAGGTTTATATAGGTATAAATAAGTTGAGGTATCATTTTACTAGTAAGCTTAGAATTGATGTTGGGCTTAAGTATGGTGTCGCGAAGTAATAAGGGGAGTATTTTGTTTAGGCTCATTTAAGTTACTAAGGGTTAAATAATAATATTTTATTAGAAAATAGAAGAAAAGAGAGAAAGTGGTGTTATCAGGAAAAACAAAATAAGAAGAGAAAAGAGAATAGGGTTTTGTGAGAAGAGGAGAAGAACGAGGAAGCTGCTGCTAGGGCTAGTTTCTAGAAATTCCATTGAAGCTTCCTTGATTGTTTTCAAAAATCAAACCAGGTAAGGGTGGGTTTCTTATCCTATAATGGGGTGTATGATATTTCGTATGTGAGGATTGATATATGAAATTGTTACTGTTTTATTGACTTGTGTTTGGCTTGTGTTGTTGCGATAATAATTGATTTGTGTTGGTTTGTGGTGTTGTGATAAGCATGATTAATATGGTTTTAGTTATAGAACTGTCAAGGAAATATGTGGCTTGCTGTGTTAAACACTTGTCTGGTTTGAGTTTGGATTAGGAGACAGAAGAATTACTGAAGCAGTATAGAAACTACGCATAGAAATTAAGTATAGGAAATAAGAAGAAGGAATGAAACGAAACTGGAAGTGGAAGTGTCGTCCGACACTTGTGTATATGGGAGGTTGTCGTTCGACAACCTTTGGGAAAGGGAGAGGTGTCGATCGACACTAGTGTAGTAGGTGGATGAAAGTGCCACTTTGGCACTGTGAGGCAGGGGCACTTGTTTTCTCTGTTTTCTGTTTTTCTGCTTGTCCTTCTATGGCACTATGCTGCATAATTCAAATAATATCAGTAATAGCTAGTAGCAGTATATATGAATGTCACTGTTTTCAGTAGCAGTAAATTAAATTTAGTTGCTAGAAGCTAGTTTTATGTGGAGGAATGACACACCCATTAGTTGTATAATAAGTTAGCAATTTTAGGGAGAACAAATAACAGTGGATTATATATATTTTAAATGTTTGAATTAGTATTTTATTAGTGATGAAAATAATTAACATTGAGGTTAATTTAATTAAGTTGGCAAGTAATTTGGAAATGAATAGATTAATTCGGTATGTTGGTAATTGATGTAATTTGCAAACTGACCTAAATGTTGTTTTGTTTCGATATATCCGTGGTGAATAAATGTTGTGTATTACCCTTGATTAATTGGTAATAATTGTGATATATACTTTTGGCCAATATTGAAGGTGTGAATTGTTGTTATGTCGACCTTTATTAGTTGTTGTCGTTGTTGCGTTACCAAGTTGTAGTTGTTTATATCATCGCATAACATAGCATAGCATAACATTAAAGTTGACCTGGATTGGCATGTTCTAAGTTGGAGCGAATGCTCATCACGTTGGCCTTTATTGGCATGATTTTATGTTGAGGGCTTATGCCTTATGCCTCGGTAAACTGACACTTTTTAAGTTGAGAGTTCTGCTCCAATGGTACCATATACATTTGCATAATTGAGTCGCATTTAGAGTCGTTGATTTATTGCTTATTTAAAGTGTTGTTTACGCACAATAATGTTATAAGTTGAATTGAGGTGTTGGTGAATGATATTGTTTTATGTTGATTTGGTATGAAGTGGTGATTTTACATAAACTGATTTCGATATATTAGTTATCATATATTCTATTATAGTATTTGATATCTCACCCCTTCTGTTTGAATGTTACCCTTTGTTGGTAACGTGCAGGTAACCAAGAGGAGTAGCCATTAGTATTGTTAGTTCGAGTTTGATGTCTTTTGCTCTGATACGTAGCACTCAGGGGGAAATGAACGCTTGTCTTAGTTTGTTGTTTATTTATTGAACCTCATGTTGTTATTTGAAGAGTTATCGTATTGATGTTGTTTTATGATTCCAAAGATGTTATGTCTCATATGGAGAATTATTATGAATCTGCTGCGTGATTAATCAAAGTTGGTTTATGATATGAAGACTCTATTCATGAGTTGTGTTCATTCTGTTTTCTTTAAGTGTTATGTATCTATTCTAAAAGCATGACAGGTTTATGTGTCTCTGTTGAATGTGTAGCATCCTGATTATTCTTGAATTTTTAATACTCTAATTTTTCGTGAATTACTTGGGGTAGAATTGGGGTATTACAGAAGACGTGCGGAAGCGCCAGAATGTATGCATGTAAAAGGTGTCGAACATGGCGTAATCTCATAGAAAGACTGTTAGGGTCGAATTAGTATAAATAGGAGTCTTAGATGTTATGATTCAGGGTATTCACATCTTTGTACAATATACTCAAATACTCAAAGTACCAGTGTTAGAGAAACGAGTTAGTGAGACATGTACGTATGATGCACCATATTCACATTCGAATGTTATTTACATTTAATGAAATTTCTTCATGTAATTTATATTCTATACGATTTACAGTCTAGAGTAGTTTTCTGTTTTATTGCTTTTATAAGAACACTTTATTTTGACATCAAAGTGATTCTCTTCGTTTAAAGAAGTTATCATCAAAACCTTTTTCCTAAAAACTAGAACACAATAGTCCTGAGATCAATCTGATCGATCTCGCAAATAACTGAATCTTTTTAGAGATTTAGAAGATCAGCGGTTGTTTGCCAAATTACAGGGTAAACAGCGTGGTACAGTTGATTAAGGTGAAGATCAATGTACTTGTTGTTGTTGCATGTCTATTATATATCATACATCATTGGTGTTTGTATGGTGGTCCATTTTGGTGAGCCTCAATCCTATGGTGGGGATTGGGTGCGAGTAGCTGATTCCAGATGGGAATCAGTGAAGCGTTACTTATGATGATGGTAACGATTTTTGGTGTGCTTGAATCCTATGATGGGAATTGGGAGCAGGTGAACCTGAGAGTTCACATATTAGTACCACATGCATTGAGTCATGGTGTTGAGTCTCATTGTATTGCATATTTGTTATGTTGTTGTGTGTTTGGATTGTGTATAAGCGTGATTGATTGAATAAGTGACTATACATGAAATAATCTGATGCTTACTTATTATTATGTATTACTTTATATAATTGTGACATCTCATCCATTCTGTTTGAATGTTGCCTCCACTTGGGTAACGCGTATGTGATATGCAGTGAAGGTGTGGATGTGAGTAGAAGATAGTGTTATTTATTATGTTTTTGTCGAGTCGACATCTGCTCTGATATGTAACACTGGGGAACGAACGTTTGATTGTTTTTACTTTGTTTGTTGGAGATTTTATGATTTCTCTTATGTCGATATTCTTTATAATTACTTCATAACATGATTTGTTTTGAATAAGTAATTGAATAATTTTTTAATGTTTTCCGCCGCAATAAAAATAAAGTTAAACATATTGATAGTTATTAGTATTACTATTCAACTTAGAGAATTGTATGTGTAACAACATGTAACATTCTAAATCTAATTGTATGAATGTTTTTAAATTAGTTGAATTTTTAATTATAATTACACGGAGAAAAATAAAGTGTTAGACTTATGATCTCCCTCCTTATGTCTTGAGTTAGCAATTCCTCTTACACTACACATCTTTTACGACAATGATGATGTCTAAAAATTAAACGATTTTGCAAATTGAATTTCACTTTTGCTTGTCTACGACTCCACATTGTGTACTTGGGATATAACAATGTATTGTCGTACTATTAAGTGTATTTTTATTTAAGGTGTTTTCTTTTTAATGGGTAGAATAGAATAATTCGATTGAAATGTAATGATCATACATTTTAAAATGCATTGTATTTTCCTACCCTATATTAGGAGTTCATTGCTATTACCTTAACACTAAAGAAGAATTTTGCTCGATAAAAAACTATTTAAGTAAATTATTTAAGTAAAAACTATTTAAACATTCAACGTGAATGGTTTAGAAAGATTAAATCTCACTTCATCCATTCTCTATCTCTCTGTAGCCCTCCAGAGCAACGAGGCTCCTCCAACATTAACCAAAAAGAATATCATGAATTCCATATAGTGGAGTATGCCTAATATTGTAATGATCCATCTATATATATAGTCTCTTAAATCATCAAGTGCCAAAGTTTCATTTTATAATGATCAAATCATGGCCTCTATCACATCTAAAAGTTGAATCAACCAAATGGATTCATCATTCAGCAAACTAAAATTAACCTTGATCATTAAGTTAGATGCATAATTCTAACTAGTAAAATTACAAAGATGACAAAGATGACATTAAAAATGGTTCAATTCTTCACTTCAACATACAAAAATTAAAGATGACTAAACCAGGAACCTTATTCTATAGGTACTGTGAAATTAAGCACCAGACAAAAATCAAAACATAGAACAACCTAAGGATGCAACATTGATTCAGAAATTCAATAAATTTGAGCAGCAACAGATGGTTGTTGTTCCTCCAGCACTAGTTCATGTTGAAGTTGCCGTGGCGGTTCTCCTTGCCAGTCCCACACAATGTCCTTGAGCGCTGGTCTAATCTCCTGCTGCATAAGCTTCTGATACTCCGATGTATCCCCGTCGGACTTCTTAAGTTCCACGAGATGGAAGTGAGGGGAGATCTCGAAAATTTCAACATCGATATTCAGTGTCCCTTTCCTACCTTCCAGCTTTAACAAACCTCCGTCTTTTTTCTTAACTTTCAAGCAAAGACACTTGCAAATTTCTTCCAGCTTAGAGATTATAATCGAGGCCGGCTTGTTAGACAGAAACCTCGTCTCTTTTTCTAGAATCGTGTCTTCGAACAAACCGGATAAATCAAAACCAGACGAGAAGGAGATTATATCAAAGGCGTTTAAGTTGTTGCAAGGCTTTGCCTGTTGTTTTGTCTCCGTAATAGAACCACTACTGTTTTCGGATACTGCAAATGCAAACACTCCATCGGAGTGCAGAGTAGCTAGTTCATGGTTTTCAGTCTCGATAACGATCGGCTTCTCTAACCCCTTTTTAAACCAAGAACTTTCCATGATCTTGGCCATTGATATCCGAGTCTTTGGATTTGGATCCAATATTTTGGACAACAACCGGCGAACCTCAAGTGCAAACCATTTAGGAAATCTGAATTCCCCTTCACAGATTTTCCTGTACATCTCCATGAGATTTTGATCTTGGAATGGAAGAGATCCAGCCAATAGAACAAACAAGATTACCCCGCACGACCATAAATCCGCTTTGCTTCCATCGTAACCCTTTCTGTTTATCACTTCTGGAGCAACATACGCAGGGGTACCACATGTAGTGTGAAGTAACCCATCTTGGCGCTTGGTTTCAGAAAGGGCACTTAAACCAAAATCCGAAACCTTCAAATTCTCATTTTCATCCAATAATAGATTTTCGGGTTTTAAGTCTCGATGACACACACCCCTGCTGTGGCAGTAGTCAACTGCGCTCATCAACTGCTGAAAATATCCCCTCGCAACATCCACCTTGAGCCTTCCCTTAACTATCTTGTTGAAGAGCTCGCCGCCTTTTGCATACTCCATGATAATGAAAATTTTGGTTTTAGTGGCCATTACCTCGTAAAGCTCAACCACATTCGGATGTCTGACTAATTTCATGGCCGAAATTTCCCGCTTAATTTGTTCAACCATCCCGACTTTCAAAACCTTTTCTTTATCAACTACTTTAACGGCCACACTCACGCCAGTTATAAGGTTCCTAGCATGGTAGACCTTAGCAAACGTTCCTTGGCCTAGTAATCTTCCCAACTCGTATTTTTGCATTAACACCTTTCCCTTCTGTTCCATTTCAACAACACTATTGGCGTACAACTACACTATCGATTATGCAGTGCTCAAAGCTCAACCATCCTTGCAAATATTGTGTTTTGGAACTGAACAACTACCGAGATTTCCAACGGCGTCAAGCACATGAGTACAAAATAGATATTGGCGGCAATCTAAAAAACCGACCTCCTCAGATGGAGCTACAACCTCAGAGAAGGAACTCTTTACTTTGAACCACATCTTTCAGCATCCCAGGTTCTGGTAATGACACTAGAGAACGTTTAGTTAGAAACATTAAACAATCCAATCATGCGAAACGAATAACATAAAAACATTATATAAGACACTGAAGGCTATGATTAATTTGGGTTTAAACACAGGTTAGGAAAGGGGATTTTACATCACACAAGAAAAAAAACAAAAACCTAACAGAGTTGATTGTATGCACATGTGTTTCCACTTTCCATCATTAACATCACAACCTAACTTTCACAATCTGTCATTATTGTTTACAATTTACAACATGTTTTCAAGAATCCTTATGAACAAAAGTAAATAGTTCAAATCAATATCACTTTCTACCAAATTCAAATCAATTCAAAGATGAACAATTCAGTGAAAATCACTACCTTGTAGAGCATAGAGAGTCACGATCTGAAGAAGAGAAACGGTTAGGGTTTATGTTGTTGTGTGAGTGTAACCAACAAGAGAAGACGGAGCGCCACTGGGAATAAAAAAACCAAGGTTTAAGGTTGTTAGAGAAATATGAGAAAACCGGAGACGCTTTACTTGTTTATAACCTGGGGAATCATACTCACGTAGTAACACGTTATATTCTCTCATATATACCCATTTATTTCGGTTTTTTATTTTTTTGGTCTACAAAAATACTATTTTTATTTTAAATATATTATTGATTTATTTATAAAAATCATTTTTATTATTTTTTTCTAATTTGATGTGTTGAATGATACTATCATTTATAGTACTTTTATTTTATATTTTAAACTTTTTATTTATGATAGAATTTTACTGAATTAATATATAACTAATTTATTATAAATATTATTCTATTAATATGTTATTTTAAATATACGGTGAGTTGGTGGATGAATGAAGTAACACTTTATGATATTATTCATGTATTTATTATTGACTATCTCATATTTCCATTTCAAATTTTTTTTCAGGCTTCAGGCTCTTGGTAGAATATTGAACTGGTCATTAAATCGGTAGAATATTGGATCATTGATTTATTGATCGAATCATTGGGTCATTGGTAACCAAATGATTAAATTGGATTAAATTAGATAATTCGATTGAATAAATTGGTCTTTATAATAAAATTATATTGACATAAAACTGGTCAAACTGGATAATTTAGTCTCTACAAAATATAACTAACACTTAAATTTTTTCAAAATATCATATCATAAATTTACAAGTTCACAATCTAAATTCAAATTTTAAACAAAAGTATCACACATAATAAAATAGTACAAAATTATAAAATATAATTGCAAACAAAATTTAATTGCAATATATCTAATTAAATAATTTTTAACAAAATAACTCAAATGTGTACCAAATTTAGTTAAAAGGAGAGAAAATTATTTCAATATTGAAATCTCCTTCTTCAAGTTTAAAATCATCTTTACTAAAATCAACCGCATTCGCAATCGCTTACCTCTCAATAATATTATTATTTTGTTTTATTTTTATTTTAATTTTTTATTTCATTTCTTTCATTTTTTATTTTAATTTTTTAATTAAAATAATTAAAACGCCGGCTTTTTAATTTTTTTTAAATAAAAATAAAAATGCAATTAAACTACCGATTTAGAAGGTTATTCTGATTTTCTCGATTTACACCAATTCGCACCAGTTCAATGACATAAGCAATCCAACAATTGAATCAGACAGGTTACCTGGTCCATTCTCGATCCGACTGGTTGGTCCGATCTGATTTTTAAAACACTACATTTATGTCACATAAATAGCTATTGTCGACTTTGAACAAAAAGATACAATATGTTATTCTCATTAATCACCCTAAGGTGAATCAGGAAACATTATTCATAATGACAAATAAATAAGTCATTAAGATTTTATTTGAATTGAAAAAATTAGATGAAGTGAAACAGAATAAAATAGAATATAATAATATTTTATTATTTGAATTATTTAAAATCAAATTGAACTTAGCATAATGGAATGGTACGAATTACATTACATTACATCACTTATTAATATATTTCCTCTGCATCTGATTTGGACGGAATTTATTATAAATATTATTCTATTATTTTAATTATATGGTGACTTGGTGGATGAATGGAGTAACACTTTATAATATTATTCATGTATTTATTATTGACTATCTAATGTTTCCATTTTAAAATATATAATATTATTCATGTATTTATTATTGACTATCTCATGTTTCCATTTTAAAATATTTATTTATTTATTTTTGGCTTCAGACTTTTGGATTGTACATTTCAAATTCTTTAGTAAAGTTTTTATTTATACGGAATTTATGTTTGGGGATTATGTACATCCTAATGTAGAGGATGGTCTCTTTGGGTTGGGTATCTTCAACTATATGTCCTAACTTAATTCATGTGTGAGAACGATTCAAAACAAATTAAGTTATTCATTATACACATTGGCAAAACATTCATTGTAGTATTTTAAAAATCGGATCAGTCTTTAAATCGACGAAGATATAAGGTTATTGGTTTATTGTTCGAATTATTGAGTTATTGGTCGAACCACATGATCAAACCGAATAACTCGGTTGAATAAATTGGTCTTTATAATAAAACTATATTGATATAAAATTGGTCGAACCAAATGATTCAGTATCTACAAAATATAACTAACACTTAAATTTTTTAAAAATATCATATCATAAAATCACAAGTTCATAATCTAAATTTAAATTTTAAACAAAAGTATCACATATAACAAAATAGTACAAAATTACAAAATATAATTGCAAACAAAGTCTAATTACAATATAATCTAATTAAATAATTTTTAACAAAATAACTCAAATGTGTACCTAATTTAGTTCAAAGGAGAAAAAAATATTTCAATATTGGAATCTCCTTCGTCAATATTAAAATCATTTGCAGTAAAATCAACCGCATTCGCAACCGCTTTCCAGTCAATGATATGATTATTTTGTTTTATTTTGTTTTATTTTTTATTTCATTTCTTTCATTTTTTATTTTAATTTTTTAATTAAAATAATAAAAACGACGTCGTTTTAATTTTTTATTTTAAATAAAAATAAAAATGCAATTAAACCACTCATTTAAAAAAACTGTCGGTTTTTTTAATTTTTATCGGTTCACACCAGTTCAATGACATAAGTGATCCAACAATTGAACCAGATCTGATATCTGGTCGGTTCCCGGTTAGATTGATCCGGCCGATCAGTCTGATCCAGTTTTTAAAACATTGCATCTACGTCACATAAATAGCTATTGTCGATTTTGGATAAAAAAATACAATATTTTATTCTCATTAATCACCCTCGGGTGAATCAGGAAACATTATCCATAATGACAAATAAATAAGTCATTAAGGCTTTATTTGGATGGAAGGAATCAGATGGAGTGAAGCGGAATAAAATAGAATATAATGATATTTTATTGTTTGAGTCATTTAAAATCAGATTGAGTGGAGCATAATAGAATGGTATGGATTACATTATATTTCATCACTTACCATTATATTTTCTCCCCTCTGATTTGGGAGGAATGAACAACTTGCCTTGTTCCGTCCTAAAATTTTCAAACAATAGAATGACATCTTTGTTCCGCTCCATTCAACTTCACTATATTTGTTTCTGCTCCACTCCATTCCACTCTGATCCATTATGTTGTGTTCATTTCATAATATCCAATCATAGTCTAAGGGCCCAGGATATCGGGATTATATTAAAGCAATAATCCTCACTTTGAGAGATACAACAAAAAACACTCGAGACACATTCACAAACAAATATTGCGACCCTTATTGATAAAGTATTAGTAGGGTTATCAACATAGTGTATCAAACTTTTAACACCTTGAGAACGCCAACCTCAATGAGGGTGAAGGGGATGTCAACTATGAAATCCTCAAAAATGTAGATCACTGCATGCAGACCTTCTCGCCTCATACGTAGTGTTCTAAAATAACATCATCCTTTCCTTTTATGTTGGATATTTTCAGTCCCACTCGAAAAGCCTTAATTTAGTCATCTTCTAGACAATTGGAATCCAAGCTTAAAACCTCTTTCTTTAAATGAGCCTGAAGGAGTGACAAAAATCTCAATGATAATTTCAACAAACTTAAGAAAGGAGACACCAAATCAGTGACATTAGAAGAACACGTAAAATAACCTAACATCTCTCTCTCTCCATGAATTTCTAATCCACTTCCCCCGTCCTCAGTTCTAAAACTTTTAGACATTGATTCTACAATACCTCTCCGAAATAGTTTGAGGCTTACTAACCTTCCCAATCTTGTCATACCTGCAAATAAAAATCATGACTACAAATAAAATAAGGAAGTGAGTGAAATTGTAATGAATAGAAAAGAAGAAATGGGAATTTTAAGAAAAATATAAGAATAAAGTAAGAAATGCAAATTAGGTTTCAAAAAAGAAAGATATAACTTATTTAAAATCATAAGTGGAAGATAATAACACAGTCACATTTATGGCTAGTTTCCTATATATGTAGGCCTCATTATGAGCTGACCTTTATGCCAGTCTTGAGGAAATAATTAATGATTACAACAAAACCTGGAAAGGAGTAAGGACAAAGTTCAGACATGTGTGCACCCAAAATTCTCCCCTAAAGCACTTCACCCTTTTGGACATCATGTTAGGAGATTGTGTACATCTAGAATTTCCCATCTAAAACACGTTGTCTCTTTGGGCCTCATGCTTAGGGGACTGAGTACATCCATAATATCCCATTCATAAAGAACTTATCCCCTTTCGACCTCATATTTGGGAGACCC